AGGGGGTGGCATAACTTTGCCCTAGGTTCCCATGAACTGGGGACAGGGGAAGAGGGACATCATCCTCTAGGGCAACTCCGTCCGGTGGAGATGATGTAGCAGTTGGTGGTGGCGATGGCAGAGTTGGTGAAGAAGGAGATTAAGCTAATGGAGAAGCAGCTGCGGTAAATGCAGTGCTGGTTGTTGGTTGCTCATCAACCCAAGATGGCGGGGAACCAGTACTCAGCCTCACGACACCGGGCACGGTGACTGGGATTCGAAAACGGGAGTTAGCATTTTCCCCCATATCGTACTCCCTCCAGAGTACCGAGGCATCATCCTCGGTTGGTGTAACTAACTCAACTAATTGAGCATTCTGCTGAGCTGAGGAAGGTCTTCGTCATATATATATATATATATATATGGGCATCAAAATATTAGAATAATTGTCGTTGATGCTAAATTTTATTTATTACAACCTAAACAGAAACAATTTCAAAGAAGAACAGTAATATTAAATAAGGTTGTGGAAACCAAAAAACAAAAGATAAAAGAAAGTAATTCATACTTCAATGTTCAAAGAAATATCTGGTATAAAAATATAGGAATTACCACAATCGTGGTATAATTATGGTATAAAAATAATATTATAATTATAGTATAATTAGTCTCAGTGTCATGACTCGGAATTTCCACCGTCGGGACCATGATGGCGCCTAACATCACACTTGCTAGGCAAGCCAATGTTAGAGTTTTATTAGCCAATTTCCTTTACGTTTCAATAGTTAACAATAAACAAGCTAAACGGGTCGAAATAAATGCGGAAGTAAGTAAATAGCCTCTTTGTTTATATTTTACTATTACTATCCAGAATTCGGTGTCACAATCCACTAACATTCTAAGATTTTACTACAAGCATTTGTTCAAAAGAAAATACAACTGTTTACGAAATAAGGAAAACAACAAAGTATGGGTTATAGAAGGGGACGCCAACAAGACTAGCTTGGGTCTTCAAGCAAGTGAATCCTACAGCCAACCTCTCGATCAGCACTAACCTGCTCCAAAATCTGCACAGGAAGTGCAGAGTGCAGTATCAGTACAACAGACCCTATGTACTGGTAAGTGCCGAGCCTAACCTCGACGAGGTAGTGACGAGGCTACGACGGGGCATTCACAATATAACATGCATACAGTGTATAATAAAAGCAAAAGGAAAGACAGGTTAAAATAGAGCAGTAACTTGCAAGGAATGAATACAGTTCTCGAAGCATATCATTAGTGCTCAGCTATTACCAATCCTTATGTATAGTTTAAGACTACCGTTCAGCTAATACAGTCAAGAAAAAATATAAGCATAAAGATTGTTGTGGCGTGCAACCCGATCCCAATATATCACAATAATCACAATCACAATTCACCGTTATTTCACCACAATCCACCCTTATTATAACTGTTGCGGCGTGCAACCCGATCCCACCGTACATAGCATTTCGCCCTTATTCTGCATCAATATATCACCCTTATTCCACCTGTTGCGACGCACAACCCAATCCCACCATATCAATATCATTTACTCAGCAAGTACAGAAATTACACAATTCAAATCACATAACTCTTCACAAGGCTTAACTTCAAACCAAAATATTTAGGAAGATTATACACTATGAGACTTTACACAAATAATACTACTCAGCGAGATCAATCCATAAATATGCCCTGAAAGTACCAATAACCAGCTCAAACAATAATAGGAGACAACGAAGCTATGAAAGAACTAATACTTTCAACAAAGATACTAGCAAGTAGCAATTAGGCATGGAAATACAAGTAAAGCAAGTAGCAGTTAAAGCAGGAAAGACAATATAAGAAGAACGGAAAGGAAACAGGCAAAACAGATAAATTGGCGGCGCATAGGTACTCGTCACCTCACCTATACACCGCTCACATGTATTTCATATAGAAAATAAGTCAAAGTTTCCTAATCCCTCGAGTCACAGCTAGACACGACACTTACCTCGCTCCGCCGGCCACTCAATGCTCAATTACCGCTTTTCCTCTAGTATCTACCTCCAAACTACTCGTATTTAGCCACAATTAACTCAATAATATCAATTATTGCTAAAGGAATCAACTACAATGCATAAATTTACATTTCTCAAACTTTCCCCCAAAAAGTCAAAACCGACCCCGGGCCCGCTTGGTCAAAACTTGAGGTTTGGACCAAAATTCATTCACCCATTCATTCCGAGCCCGAGTCTTTAATTAGTTTTGAAATTCGACCCCCAGTTGAGGTCTAAATTCCAATTTCCCAAAAATACCTAATTCTACCCAAACCCCCAATTTCAACCATTAAAATCCTAGATTTTAGGTTGGAAATTCATGAAATGTGATGGGAAATTGAAAGAAAGTGGGTTAGGATCACTTACCAATGTTTTGGGGAAGAATTGGTCTTGAAAGAATCGCCTCTAGGGTTCTAGGATTTGAAAATATGGAGAATGGGAGAAAGACCCGTCTAACTTAAGTTTTGAACAGTTGCAGGTGTCGCATTTGTGACCTGGGATTCGCTAATGCGAAAAAGACTTCGCAAATGCGAAGATTGGCTAAACCTGCTGACCTTGCAAATGCGACTCAGTGTTCGCAAATGCAATAAAAAATACCGCAAATGCGAAGGTGTCCCTCCCAGCCCACTGTTCGCAAATGCGATGGCCTCTTCGCATATGCGAGGCTCGCATTTGTGAGCCACACCTTGCAAATGCGAAGTCTGCAGATCTAGTGCATCAACTGCTGGTTTTCTAAGTTCAAACACTCTGAAGCCTATCCGAAACTCACCCGAGCCCTCGGGGTTCCAAACTGTACATGCACACGAGTCTTAAAACATCATACAAACTTGCGTGCGCGATCAAATCGCCAAAATAACACTTATTACTACGAATTTAGCACCAACTCAAATGAAATTCTCAAGAACACTTTAGAATTTCTATTTTCTCAACCGGACGTCCGAATCACATCAAACCAACTTCATTTCTCACCAAATTTCATAGACAAGTCTTAAATATCATAATGAACATGTACCGGGCTCCGGAACAAAAATATGGACCCCATACCAACAAGATCAAACATTAACCAAATTCTTAAAACCAATAGATCTTTAGTCTTTCAATTTTTAACAAAAATTCATATCTCGAGCTAGGGTCCTCAGAATTTGATTCCGGGCATACGCTCAGGTCCCATATTCATTACGGACCCACTGGGACCGTCAAAATACGGGTCCGGGTTCGTTTACTCAAATGTTGATCGAAGTCAACTAAAATCAACTTTTAAGGCAAAAATTATTATTTTTGTCAACTTTCAACATAAAAGCTTTCCGGAAACACGCCCGGACTGCGCACGCAGATCGAGGAGTGTATAAATGAGATTTTTAAGGCGTAAGAGCGCATAATCGAGTTCTAAAACATAAGATGACCCTTTGGGTCATCACACTTAGAATTACTAGTCCTAAAATAAAAAAGTTCAGTATTGTTATTCGAAATTTTGTGGGCAGGGTTGAATAAAAAAGTTCAGTATTGTTATTCGAAATTTTGTGGGCAGGGTTGAATAAAAAAGTTCAGTATAGTTATTCGAAATTTTGTGGGCAGGGTTGAATGCTAGAAAGTTGAGTTTTGATTACGCGAGGTAGTTTGTTAAACTCCTCACATGAATCACGAATCTAACTATTCAACAATTGCGACTACACTACACCAATTTTTTTGGCTGTTTGTCCTCTTTTGTTTTATCCTATTGCCCTATTCTTTCTTCTAATTTACAAATCATGTTACTAGTGACAGAGTTCAATTGAATCTTCAGCATCTATATGTGTAAATAGAGTAAAAATAAATTAAACCAAAAAGGTCAATTCTTACAGTTTTTTATTTGTGAATACTGCGCTGCCAAAACCATCAAAATTATAAGCCCTCTTCAAAACTGTAGTTGTATATTCTCTTTTATTTAATTAAAAATGAAACTTGTTTAACTTTCAGAAGTAATGTTATTTTTAGAATTATAAACATGCATAATCATAGAATGTTGTTCTATAGTTCACTTTTGAAATATCTGAATTTTTTTATTTTCGAAACATAACATTAAATGTAAAGTATGTTCTTCATGTGTAATTTACCGTTTTCTACTTTTCTTACTGTACTTGAGCACTTTCGGTTAAGTAGGTATCAATGTATACTTTTACATAAGAACGTATTTTTTGTACAGAATATAGTTGCACGTGTTTTGCTATTATTATATTATTGAATAGATTGGAATTATCTATTCCAATTTCTTTAATCACTATCTGCTCCCATTTACAAGAAACATATTGTTTCTCTTCTCATTAGAACATCTGTTAGCATTTTGTTATTTATCATACATGAAATTAAGAAATGAAAGAGAAACCACACATGCAATTTGCAAATGTCTCGTTAAGAAGTGACACAATAATCTAATCTCAAACTGGTGGAAAGTGCAATAGACAACATATGTAAAACTTAGACAATACATTTTAAGTGAAAAGTTTCGTGTTTCAGTATCAATATTTCATAGTATTGTTAACGCATAGGTATCTACAAAAAGAACACTCCATAAAAAACAATTGATCTTTACCAGTTCAATGCTGATACTGGCTCGAAAATAAGTATACATATTAAAAAATTTGTGCATGTTACGTTCTTTCTAGATCTAGTAATGACATGGTCAACAACATTAATCTTTTTATTCGTTTTTAATTTAATCCCTCATTTAGCAAAAAGATAATACTCACTTATGACAGCTTGGTTATAATATGGAAAGAAATGGGCATATCTGTCCTAAAACCCTGTAGTTCAGCCCTTTCCCGGATCCCGCGCATAGCGGGAGCTTAGTGCACCGGGCTGCGCTTTTTTTAATACAAAAAATATTTATACAATCAAATAAAACTATATAACCTGCTTGCAGGTTAAACTATATATATATATATATATATATATATATATATATATATATATATAAACAGTCCATTCCCACATAGCATCACTTGTATTTCTCCCAACAAAAGCCTATAACTCCTTTTTCCTATTGTCCAAAGCAAACTAAAGAAAGGAGACTTATCAAGTATCAGCAATATCAACCCCCGAGTCCCAGACTTAGCCAATTTCATATTAATATAATTCTGATTTGGTGATTTAAAAAAAACAACCATTTTCTCCTTTTAATCCATAAGATTTGCGAAAATGGATGGTGCAGGCCAAGTTCCTCAAGGGCTAACAGAAGAAGAATTTGCAGAATTGGAGCCATTGATTCGCAATTACCATACCTTTGACCATCTCCCCAACACTTGCACTTCTCTTATTACACAACGCATTGACGCACCCGCGCATGTTGTATGGCCCTTCGTCCGCCGCTTTGACAACCCTGAGAAGTACAAGCACTTCATCAAAAGCTGCAAGATGACGTCAGGTATTGAAGTGTGTGATCATCTCATCGAACATGTTTTTAACTGGTACTAAAAAATATAGTACAATTTAAATTGAACAAAAATATTTCGTCTTAATATGTCCCCTCACCTCTGGGTCTCATTCTACTTCATGGGACAAGTGCCTGAATTTTTTATTTTTTATTTTAACTTTTTCGGCATGAGATTTGATTCCAAGATCCTTATTAGATAAATGTGCTACACCTTGTTTTCAAACTTATGGTCTAAAGAAATTTTATACAAAAAAGTTAATTTATCCTTATTTACACGGTATAAATGGTCGATGAAGAGGAGTCAATTCCATTTGCATCCACGTAGCTCCACCTTTACTTGGTGCAAGTATCATATTTGAAATGCGTGATCATTTAATCGAAAATTTTAAATCGATTAAAATAACACACTTTTAATTATTTAATTATATTATGTCTCAATAATAGGTGACGGTGAGGTTGGCAGCATAAGGGAAGTGACAGTCGTATCAGGAATACCTGCATCCACAAGTACGGAACGTCTAGAGATTTTAGACGACGAGAAACATATCCTTAGCTTTCGAGTTGTAGGGGGTGAGCATAGGCTGAACAACTACAGATCAGTTACATCAGTGAATGAGTTCAAGAAAGATGGGAAAATTTACACCATTGTTTTAGAGTCATACATTGTGGATATTCCAGAAGGGAATACTGGAGAAGACACTAAAATGTTCACAGATACAGTTGTTAAGTTGAATCTGCAAAAACTTGGTGCGGTGGCAATGGCTGCTCTGCATGGACACGAATTATAGGTGGATTTAGTATTTAAATTTGATAGGTTTAATATTTATGTTTCACTCAATGCACTTTTGTAATCTTGGGTCAAAGTTAAAGGTTTGTTACAATTCTAATAACTTTTCATATATTATATGTTGGATCTAGTTAAAGTCATGAATTGTACATTGTATCTGCCTCTAAATTCATAACGGTGATGAATGGTGGCAGTGGGCGGTGATGATTTGGCAGTATCTCTTACACATTTGCTCTTTTTTCCAGTAATAATAAAGAAAAAAGAAACACTTTTTTGTATAGTGCTATTTCTTAGTGGTTAGCATTTGTTTTCTTGAGAGTTGGAAATAGTTTGTATATTTTAATTTATTTCTTATGCTCTGCTGAATCGTTTATATCATAAGATCTTATTGTAATGATGGAGTGAAGAACAATGGTGGAGCTCGAGCTTGGGCTCCAATGGCGGAACCCTAAAAGCTTCTCGAAGAGAGAGAGAGGGGGAGAAGAATTAGAGAGTCTATTGAGTGCAACAATGAACTGACTAATTGATTATTATCTCTACAAAAGAATACATATATACACAACACGTGAGAACCACACGTGAGACACTTAACATACTAACTAATAGCTAAGCTAATATAACTAACACTTTAAACTAACACTTAATAGAGTAACTAACAAACGGTGTTACATATAATTAAGACAATATCTCAATACCCCCTCCCCCCCCCCCCCCCCTAAGTTGGAAGTGAGATTGTCACTGCCAACTTGCTCATAACTGTTGCATGCTTGACTCCAGTAAGGGCCTTGGTTAAGACATAAGCTAGCTGGCAATCAGTCCCAACATGATGAAGAGATACCAGTCCTTGTTGCAGCTTGTCTCTCACAAAATAGCAATCGACCTCAATATGTTTGGTGCGTTCGTGAAACATAGGATTTCGAGCAATGTGTAGAGTTGATTTGCTGTCACAAAACAATGGGACAGGCTTAGGGAAAGGAACTGTCAGCTCATCAAATAATCTGCACAACCAAGTAAGTTCACCAACTACATTTCTCAGGGCTCTATATTCTGCTTCAGCAGAGGAGAGGGATATGGTGGCATGTTTCTTAGACTTCCAGCTGATTGGACTATCACCAAGAAGTACCAAATATCCACTAACAAACTTCCTAGAATCTGGACAAGCTGCCCAGTCGGAGTCACAATACCCTTTAACAGTACAATCAGAACTGGCAGACATGAAAATCCCAAGGGTAGGATCAGCCTTCAAATATCTAAGCAAATGATAAGCACCCTCTAAGTGAGGTTCCCTGGGATCTTGCATGAATTGACTAAGGTATTGCACACTATATGTAATATCCAGTCTTGTATTTGTGAGGAAGTTCAACTTATCTACCAGGGTCCTACAGATAGAAGGATCAGTTAGGGACATACCTTCCTTAGGTTTGAGTTTAACATTAGGATCCAATGGTGAACTGAAAGCACTACAATGGAGGCACTCATACTCCTTCAGTAGATCAAGTGCAAACTTCCTTTGGAAGATTATGGCACTATCATCCCTGTAGAGAACTTCCAAACCTAGGAAATAGTGTAATCTTCCCAAGTCCTTGATTCTAAATTGAGCATGCAGAAAGTTTTTCAACAAAGTGATCTCCTTTGAGTTGTTTCCTATAATGATTACATCATCAACATAAACAGCAACAAAGATAATAGAGGTGTCAGTCTTCTTGTAAAACAGAGAATAGTCATTAAGGGAGTGAACATATCCTTTAGAGCATAGAGACTCAACTAGTTTAGCATACCACTGTCAACTGACCTGCTTCAAGCCATATAATGATTTGTTCAGTTTGCACACTAGTCTAGGTGCATCAACCAATAGGCCAAGAGGTAAAACCATGTACACTTCCCCATGGAGATCCCCATGAAGGAAGGCATTATTTACATCAAGTTGAAAGATTCCCCAATGTTTCTTTATTGCAGTTGCTATGACTGCCCTGATAGTGGTCATTTTTATAACTGGTGAAAAGGTCTCAGTGTAGTCAACACCAGCCTACTAGGTATACCATTCACCACCAACCTGGCCTTGAATCTCTCAATTTTACCATCAACTTTGTGCTTGATTTTATACACCCATCGACAGCCTATTGGCTTCTTCCCTATAGGCAAAGGAACTAAGTCCCAAGTGTGATTGGCATGGAGTGCCTCAAACTCTAATGGCATGGCTGCTTGCCAAGCAGGGTCCAAAGTTGCTTCCTTATAAGAGTTCGGCTCACTGTCATGACAAATACATTGCACAAGGTGTCGACTATCAGGAACTAAGGAGGTGAAGTTAACATGGTGATGTTTAGAGAAAAGAGCACTAAGAGAGAAAGAGGAATTTGAAGTGGATGTGGGTGCAGAAGATGTCGAAACAGATGTAGGATGTGTATTAGGGTATAAGTTAGGCATGGAACAGATATAATCTTTCAAATGCACAGGTAGGTGATGTTCTCTAGTGGACTTTCTAGGTACCCGGTTGGCTTGACTCAAAGGTGGTGAAGGAATAACATGTGATGAGTTACTAGGAGAGTGTACAGCTGAGCTGTCTACAGGTGAGACTGTAGTGGAGACATCATCAATACCTATTGATGGTTGAGGTGTATGAGGATTATAATATGCCTCAGTAAGTGGCACATCCTTTGTAGAAGAAGCAGATTAATTTCAAGAACTGAAGGAAGATGAGAGGAGGAGTCAGGTAAGATGGCAAAAGGGAAGATGTGCTCATGAAAGGTTACATCCCTGGAAACATGAATCTTCTTAGTGGCTAAATTGAGAACTTTGTACCCTTTTGTCTCATAAGGATATCCCACAAAGACATGGGGAGTGGTCCTAGGTTCAAATTTATCTCTATGAATTTTGGGTGTGTGAGAAAGCATAGGCATCCAAAACTTCTTAAGTGGGAATAGGTTGGTTTTTTGTTATAAAGGACTTCAATTGGACATTTATTTTTTAGGTAAGTAGTGGGGAGTCTGTTTATAATATGAGTGGCAGCCAGTACAAACTCACCCCAATACTGCAAGTATAACTTGGACTGGAAGAGGAGTGCCCTGGCAGTTTCCAGAAGATACCTATGTGTCACGCCCCAACCTCGGGGAGCACGACCGACGCGCGACCGAGTGAACCTGGTCGAGCAAGCCTATCCAGTCTTTCCTACCCGACTCATTCATGAACCAAAAAGGGAACGTGTTACCATTTGTTAAACAGGGAAGAGACCAGTTATATAAATGTGAAAACGTTACTAGTCCTTTGTTACTTAAACGCCATAGGCCATAATTAAGTTTCCAAAGGTGCATACAGTTGACAATCTACTGGAAGAGTTTCAAAAATACAATGTGATCTAATAACCATCCCGACACCCATACATGACCCACGTAAATGTCTACGGAGCCTCTAAGGATATAAAAGATCAACATGACAATGCCGGCAACAAGGCCCCGCCTATACCTCAATATATGGTAATTTACACAAAAGAAGGACTACACAACCCCTGGGAGTAACGGGGCCTCACCAAGACTGCTGTAAAGAGAGAGAAAGAGAGCACCACTATCTGCGATCGGCGCTATCTGCGATGGAACCACCTACATCCATTCAAAGATGTAGCACTCCCAGCAAAAGGGACGTCAGTAGTGTCGAATAGCACTAGTATGTAAGGCAAACACAAATATTATTAGAATGAACAGTGAAACAAATAGAAGGCAGCCACAAAAATTAACAAGTACGTTACAGAATTACAAGGAACCACCAAATAAGGATCACATCATTGCGGTTCTTTCTTTCCATCTCTTTTAGGTTGATGATCATTAGTGCCAAGTGCCACAATCCATAATGCCACCGTGGTTTTTACACGGAGTCCGATCTCGGCCTGACCGGCTAAGTCATCCCAAGTGAGACATATCCAAATTCTTAATGATAACAGAAGCCCAACATAAATGCCACCATATGTACAGCATGGCGTCCGATCTCGGCCCGATCGACTAAGCCATCTCACTTGGGACATAACCTCTTTCAATTATCCATTTCATCTACATTTCTTTCCATCTTTCATTACTTGACACAAGCAGCCCCATTTATTAAGCAGTTCTTGGCACTTGGACATGTTTTATAATTAAAGTCTTTCTCTTTATTATTTGCCCAAATATCATCAATAACCATGTCAACAAGTGCTATCATATAAGGCATGCGCACACAAGGAAAGAAAAGAAGACAAAAGGAAAGCTTGGAGAACATGATCACATTTTCAAATAGCATGATTTCAGGGCAACACTTAGAACAAATATGGAACATAAATCTTTCACCCCAATACATAAAGGAAAACCATTTAGTATGATCAATTCAGAACTCACGCCAATTATTCGGACACCAAGAGTTCAATTCTAAGAAGAAGAGGGTTAGCCATACATACCTCATTTGAGTCTTTCCCTAATTCCTACGACAAGTTCCGGAACCTTTAGCACCTTCAATCTATTTAACAATGTAGCACAATTGAACTCATTATTAGGAAATTGAT